GTACACCTTGTAGATAGTACACACTGAGCATCAGTGGTGGAGGGAGTGGATGCTTGTGGATGCCGTGCAAATCAAGCGGGCTGCTATGTCCTGGATGCGCGCCACAGGCTTCTTGAGTGTTGTTGAGGCTACACTCATCCAGGCAAGTGAGGAGTATTCCATCACACTCCTGACTTATGCCTTGGAGATGGTGGACAGGCATTGACGAGTCAGGAGATGTGTTACTTGCCAAAGTACTCCTAATTTCTGACCTGCTGTTGTAGCCACTGTGTTTATGTGGTGAGTCCAGGTGAGTTTCTGGTCAATGATGTTGATAGTGGGGGATTCAATGATGGTAACACCATTGAATGTCAAGAGGCAGTGGTTAGATTGTCTCTTATTCGTGACGGTCAGTCTGACATTTGTGTGGTGCGCATGTTACTTGCCACTTCTCAGCTCCAAGCCTGGATATTGTTCAGATCTTGTTGCATTTGAACATGGACTGCTTCAGTATCTGAGGAGTTGCGAATGATACTGAACGTTGTGCAATCATCAGCGAACATCCTCACTTCTGACCTTATGAGGAAAAATTATTGATGAGGCAGCTGATGATGGTTGGGCTGAGGACACTACCCTGAGGAACCCCTGCAGAGATGTTCTGGAGCTGAAATGACTGACCTCCGACCACTACGACCATCTTCCTATGTGTCAGGTATGCCTTCAATCATCAGAGAGTTTGTCCTCAATCCCCATTGATTCCAGTTTAGCTAGGGCTCCTTGATGCCACACTTGGTCAAATGTAGCCTTGATGCCAAGGGCTGTCACTCTCACCTCACCTCTGGAATTCAGCTCTTTTGTCCATCTTTGAACCAAGGTTGTAATGAGGTCCGGAGCTGAGTGGTCCTGGCGGAACCCAAACTGGGCGTCACCGTGCAGGTTATTGCTGAGCAGGTGCTGCTTGATGTCACTGTTGATGACCTCTTCCATCACTTTACTGATGATCAACTGTAGACTGATGGGGCGGTAATTGGCTCAGTTGGGTTTGTCCTGCTTTTTATGTACAGGACATACTTGGGCAGGTTTCCACATTGCCGAGTAGATACCAGTGTTTTAACTGTACTCGAACAGCTTGGCTAGGACAGCGGCAAGTTCTGGACAGAAATCTTTTGTAGTCATGTCAGAATGTTGTCAGGGCCCGTGGCCTTTGCAGTGTCGAGTATCTCCAACCGTTTCTTGATATCACGTGGAGAGACATGAATTAGCTGAAGATTGGTATCTGTAATGCTGGGGACCACTGGTGGAGGCTGAGATGGATCATCCATACGGCACTTCTGGATGAAGATAGCTGTGAAAGCTTCTGCCTTATCTTTTGCACTGATGTGCTGGGCTCTTCCATCATTGAGGATGGGAATATTTGTTGAGTTTCCTCCTCCACACATTTACACAACAAATGTTGCTAATCTGATTAGAAAGGTTTGAGTTGTCCTCACTGAAGAAATGTGGTGGAAAGGACAAAGCACAGGACAACACTGAGGTTGAAAGAAGTTGAGGATAACTCAGGCAGCAAGCTTTGGTTTAAAGACTCAGGTACAATTTGTGAGGTGAAGGGAATGCCTGGAAGGTAGAGGGAGAGCATGTGTTTTGGCTGGTTTACAGAATGGGATAAAAACAAGATAGGAAGTCTCAGAGATAGTAGGAACTGCAGATGCTGGAGAATCTGAGATAACAAGGTGTAGAGCTGGATGAACACAGCGGGCCAAGCAGCATCAGAGGAGCAGGAAGGCTGACGTTTCGGGCCGAGAACCTTCTTCAGAAATGGGGGAGGGGAAGGGGATTCTGAAATAAATAGGGAGAGATGGGGTGGCGGATAGAAGATGGATAGAGGAGAAGATAGGTGGAGAAGAGACAAACAGGTCAAAGAGGCGGGGATGGAGCCAGTAAAGGTGAGTGTAGGTGGGGAGTTAGGGAGGAGATAGGTCAGTCCAGGGAGGACGGACAGGTCAAGGGGGCAGGATGAGGTTAGTAGGTAGGAGATGGGGGTGGGGCTTGAGGTGGGAGGAGGGGATAGGTGGGAGGAAGGACAGGTTAGGGAGGCAGGGACAAGCTGGGCTGGTTTTGGGATGCGGTAGGGGGAGGGGAGATTTTGATTGTGAAGTCCACATTGATACCATTGGGCTGCAGGGTTCCCAAGTGGAATATGAGGTGCTGTTCCTGCAACCTTCGGGTGGCATCGTTGTGGCACTGCAGGAGGCCCAGGATGGACATGTCATCTGAGGAATGGGAGGGGGAGTTGAAATGGTTTGCGACTGGGAGGTGCAGTTGTTTAGTGCGAACTGAGCGTAGGTGTTCTGCAAAGCGGTCCCCAAGCCTCCACTTGGTTTCCCTGATGTAGAGGAGGCCACAATGGGAACAGCGGATACAGTATACCACATTAGCAGATGTGCAGGTGAACATCTGCTTGATGTGGAAAGTCTTCTTGGGGCCTGGGATGGGGGTGTGGGGGGAGGTGTAGAGGCAGGTGTAGCACTTCCTGCGGTTGCAGGGAAAATGCCGGGTGTGGTGGGGCTGGAGGGGAGTGTGGAGCGGACAAGGGAGTCCCGGAGAGAGTGGTCCCTCCGGAAAGCAGATAAGGGTGGGGAGAGAAAAATGTCTTTGGTGGTGGGGTTGGATTGCAGATGGCGGAAATGTCGGAGGATGATGCGTTGGATCCGGAGGTTGGTGGGGTGGTACGTGAGGACGAGGGGGATTCTGTTTTGGTTGTTATTGCAGGGAGGGGGTGTGAGGGATGAGTTGCGGGAAATGTGGGAGACACGGTTGAGGGCATTCTTGACCAGTGAGGGGGGAAGTTGCGGTCCTTGAAAAACGAGGACATCTGAGATGTACGGGAGTGGAATGCCTCATCCTGGGAGCAGATGCGGCGGAGGCAAAGGAATTGGGAATAGGGGATGGCATTTTTGCAGGAAGTTGGGTGGGAGGAGGTGTATTCTAGGTAGCTGTGGGAGTCGGTGGGCTTGAAATGGATATCTGTTTCCAGGTGGTTGCCAGAGATGGAAATAGAGAGGTCCAGGAAGGAGAGAGAGGTATCAGAGATGGTCCAGGTGAACTTAAGGTTGGGGTGGAAGGTGTTGGTGAAGTGGATGAACTATTTGAGCTCCTCGTGGGAGCACGTGGCGGCGCCGATACAGTCATCAATGTAACGGAGGAAGAGGTGGGGTTTAGGGCCAATGTAGCTACAGAAGAGGGATTGTTCCACGTAACCTACAAAGAGGCAGGCATAGCTTGGGCCCATGCGGGTACCCATGGCCACCCCCTTTGCCTGTAGGAAGTGGGAGGAATTGAAAGAGAAGTTGTTGAGGGTGAGGACGAGTTCGGCTAAGCGGATGAGGGTGTCAGTGGAGGGGGACTGGTCGGGCCTGCGGGACAGGAAGAAGTGGAGGGCCTTTAGGCCATCTGTATGGGGAATGCAGGTGTACAGGGACTGGACGTCCATTGTAAAGATGAGGTGTTGGGGACCGGGGAATTGGAAGTTTTGGAGGAGGTGGAGGGCATGAGTGGTGTCACGGATGTAGGTAGGGAGTTCCTGGACCAAGGGGGAGAAAATGGAGTCGAGATAGGTGGAGATAAGTTCGGTGGGGCAGGAGCAGGTGGAGACAATGGGTCAGTCAGGTTTGTGGATTTTGGAAAGGAGATAGAAGCGGGCGGTGCGGGGTTGGGGAACAATGAGGTTAGAGGCTGTGGGTGGGAGGTCACCTGAGGTGATGAAGTTGTGGATGGTTTGGGAGATGATGGTTTGGTGGTCGGGGGTGGGATCATGATCAAGAGGACAGTAGGAGGAGGTGTCAGAGAGTTGGCGTCTGGCCTCAGCGATGTAGAGGTCAGTGCACCATACTACAACTGCGCCTCCCTTGTCCGCGGGTTTTATGGTGAGGGTTTGGGATTGGAGCGGAGGGCTGCACGTTCTGTGGGGGAGAGATTGAGGCGATTGATGTCTCGACGGCAGTTGGAGATGAAGAGGTCTAGGGAGGGTAGGAGGCCTTGGGGTGGTGTCCAGGAGGAGGGGGTATGTTGGAGGCGGGAGAAGGGGTCAGTAGACGGAGGGTTAGGCTCACGGTTAAAGAAGTAAGCGCGGAGGTGGCGGAAAAACTGTTCAACGTCCAAGCGTGAGCGGTATTTGTTGATGTGTGGGTGGAGGGTGACAAAGGTGAGTCCTTTCCTGAGGACTAGGAAGTCTCGACTGGAAGAGCAGTGACTAAGATAAGACTGAGGATTGGAGGTGGCATGTGGAAACCCAAAGTAAGGGTAGGGTAAGTGAAATCAGTGGTGTCTTCCTCTGCAGATGGATGGGCTTCTTCCAGTGTTACTTGAGGGAAATGATTCTGAACCACAAGGTAACAGAATTGGTGAATCAATTATTTTCCAGTGTCAAACAATTGTTTATGACCTCAGACAAGAATCGCTGAACCACAACATTAAAAACGATATTTCATCACTGTTGGCAATGGTGTAATAAATTCAGACTTCTCTTTTGTAGTTTAGGTTTCTCAATGAAAAAAATACTTTCTTGGAGACCCTGTGCTGGATACAAGGCATGTCCCTTTAACATGAACACAAAATTGTGGCCAAATGTCATTTCTACCAATTACGGATGGCCAACTCTGAGCACTGCAATTTGAATGCAACCTCGGCATTTCATACAGCCAGCTTTACTGACCTGACACTGCAGCTGCACTGCAGAACGTAATGCAGTACTGGCGGTTACATTTTCCATGACATTTGCTTTCGACAATGATTGATTCACCATGTCACCTGATGCTGATTTTTCCTGTAAGTTACTGCATTCAGGGTCTGAGTGTTTTTCAGTGCCAGCTGCAGTTCAAATGTCTTTGACAGGGTGTTTGATCACCTTTGGTTTGAGTGCCTGTAAGGAGCAAACATCTTGCTTCAGGATCACCCCCTTTCATGTTGATGCAACTCCCAAATCTGCAACTTATATAAACCTCCAGCATCAGTTGTTTCCTTACCTCCTTAGTCGAACTTTCCATAAACGGACCTCCGAACATTGCAGCCATCCAGTCGCAGCTGGAAATCAGCAAGGGCTTATGTGCACAGATCGTCCCATCATCTAGCTTAAAAACCACATCTGCCAGCAAACAAGAACAGTGGAGAGACTCATTTCAATATGGTTGGTGCCTCTGAAAGTTTCACAAATTGTAACACATTCGGAGAACATAAAGCACCTCATTCATCAGCTGGACAGATTTAAATCTAACATTTGAGGCTTCATGATTTGAAATATCTCTACCTAACCTCCTCTCAACCTTCTCCAAGGAAAGCAGTCCAAATTTCTTCCATCTCTCCTCGTAACTGAATTCCTCATCCCTAGAATCAACGTCGTAAATCTTTTACTCTCCCCTGTGTCTTCATATCTTTCCTCTTTAAGCTGTTGCCAGGGAGATAATCATTCTGACCAGAGTTAGCTACACAAGTGCTCAAACATTGATCAATATCCTAATTCCTCGGGCAATTAGACACCAACTTCCAGAATGATGCAGAGCATGACTGGTGAGAAATTTACCATAGTGGGATATGTTAGCCAAGCCATCAGAATTCTTTAACATGACAAGTGATCCAACTAAAGCAAGGACTATCAGAGATCATGAAAGTAATCGGCTGCTGTCCAACAAAGGGATTACTGGATAAAATGTTTCTGAATGGAAGATATACAATTAAGCTTGGTGCTCAATGTCCAATCAAAAATGAACTTTTTCCATCTCTGCAAGAAGCTCACCAATAGAATGCTGAACATTGTTTATGACCCCATTTTAAAACAACAATTGATACATAGTTGCCATTAGACCAGCTTTTAATTCCAGATTCAATTGGATTCAAGTATCACCACGGTCAGATTTGAACACACACTCCCAGATCCGTAATCCAGAGCAACTTCACCTCCCAACCCTTTCATTTTTTCAACGCAAGCCAACACAATGTCATGATCATTGCATGGCTTGTGTTTCTGTTCTTTGCTGCACATTTCCTTGGCAGTGCTCTGGTTGAATCTTCCAGATTGAGCTTTTCTATGTTCTGCAAGAGGGCAATAAATACACTGCCCTTTCCAAATCATGAGGGACTCTTTCTTTACATTACTCCCAAACCCATGTAAGAACTGCCACACTGCCCCCCTTGAGTCAGTTTTTCATCCACTGACATCCTTTAAAGTGATATTTTTGATCCCCAAAGCGACACCCATCTCTCAAACTGTCTCCTCAAGCATCTGTTCCAATCAATGCAATCAAGAACAGAGACAGCATTTTTTATGCAGGTAGTTTCAACTGCAGAATTCAGATATTCACAGTTTCGGAACATCAGGATATATTTAGTTTATTTACTCTCGATCTGTCAGAATCACAGAATTGTTACAGCACAGAAGGAGAGCATTTGGCCAATCATGTCTTGTTAGTTCTCTGAATAAGAACCACTTTTTGTTTTATTCATTCATTTGTATGTATCTCTATAGACCTGCCTTGGTTCTATATCCCTCAATACCTTTCTTTAGCAAACAATTTATGAATGGGTTTTGAAATTCACAATCCATTCCCAGCCCCAACAGCTTTTTGTGAGATGAGAAGTTTCAGACTTTGATGAAGCGTGATATCACCAGGCCTGGCCTGCTCTCATTTTAAGTTGATGTGCCCTTGTCTGCACTTGCTGGCATCAAAACTAGAGGAAATGGTCAGGACCAAGGCAATAAAATAATCAATTAATATCTGATAGCTCCGGGCCAGAACATGATACGCTTTGGCTTGTACTCCTGTTAATTTAAACATAAAACTTAGAGAAGGCTCCGGAGAAATAGGGCAAAGTACAAACATATTGCAAATCTGCTTTCACAGTTTTCTGTAGCTGGTTCAGCAGAAATGTCTTGGCAAAGGTCAGGTGCTTAAAGAAATTGCTTGTGAGTACAGAACTTAAACATTGCCACAAGGAATCAAGAAATCAAAGGTTTTCATATTGCACTCATCAGAACTAGGACACAAGGAACAGACTTGAAAAAAGGGACACCAATTTCTGAGAAGAGGATGCTGAGTAGTTCGGGCAATGAGATTCAGGAAGAACAGTAAACTGTCGATCTTAATGCTCAGTGTTGGCTGGCAGAGTTTGATTGGTTAAGCTGTTGTCATTGTGAGGCCAAAGCAACTGGCTGTCTCCATAATCTCTTTTTGATTAAAAAAAAGGGACAATGTAATTTGCCTAATTTGATCAATAAGAATTTACCTGCCTGCGCCTTGTGGCAGAATCCTTGCAAGAAATTCAAGACAACTTAGACTTAGCCAAAAATAACCTAAGATTCAGTCAATCAATTTCCTCACTCCAAAGAGAAAAATCTTGTCTTCTCAAGCCTGACTGACTAACTGATGTCTGGTAAGACACTGTTAATATCCTCACTGTACGCCCCCCTGGATCGTAACATCTCAATTGTCCTGTGAAAAAAAATGACATTCCTTATAACACTGCTATAAATTATTTGTTTTAGCGAGAATATAATGCTTGATAAGGGATCGGCACATCTGATGAAAATGCTGGATGTGGATGGAAGTACTAAGATTGACGAGAGAACATCTCTTTTACCCATTCCATGGCTAAGTGTCACTTCTCGTTAAAGAAACCCAAAAGTTTTGAATCTCTGCTCATAGATTCAAGGTCAGTCAAGGCACACAAGTTTCAAAACTGACTGATAGCTGAATATTGAACTAGATAAAAGACATAGAGATTGCACCCAATGAGCTGTCAGTCAATACTAACCAGAAGTTTTATTTCTGAACTATTTTAAAGGAAAAATTTGGGAACCTTTTTACCTAACTCTGCCACTGGATAGAATCTCAGAACTCAGAGTGAACTTTGTAAGTTATTGCAGTGGAAGTAACGTGTTGGTGGCTTTTTTCATTTTGTCTGCACATAATCCTTTCATCTCAGACCAAGGAACGCAGCCAGCTCTGTGACAAATCTCTTTCATGTGCACAAATTTAAATTGTCAGAGGATTGCAAATATATTTCCTAGAAATACCTTCAGCACAGCTTCAAAGTACAGTCAATTTTCCAGGGAGAGAAAATGGAGAAAAGGAACAGACCTTGGATTGAGCATCCGAACATTTCATTAGGCTGATAAGTGAGGACTCATACCTGAAAATTATGAGCAACTTTACATGCATCGTTGAGAAAGTGTTGGACTGAAATATACAACTTCCTAAACCTGGTAACTGTGATCTTCTCTGTTGATCGAGCGGACTGTTTCCCAACCCAAGGAATATATGCAAAGAAACCATTGTGGTTTTAATTATGTTCCCTCCACAGCCACCATCTGCTACCTACACAAATGTGGCATCAGGCAATCTCAACAGGTCGTCTGTACATCCTGGTTAATTCTCAGCCATTCAAGTGAAACAAATGTTCCTCTCCAAAAAGCCACTGAATATTTCAGCTCCTATCATGTTAATTCAATCAAATGTTTTCCAGCTACCTCTTCTTTTTGTGGTCATGGCACTTTGAGGCCACTTTCTTTGCTAAGAATGACAGGTGAATTTTTGGTGGGGCAGAATGATAATGACTACTGGTGTTTGTCAACTTGAAGGATCCAAGTGGTGGAAAGTAAAACTTTTTGGACACCTCAATGCTGAAATTCTGGAACACCCAACACACCCATTTAATGCAGAAGTTGCTGGAAAAGCTCAGCAGGTCTGGCAGCATCTGTGAAGAAAAAAAATCAGAGTTAACGTTTAGGGTCCAGTGACCCTTTCTCAGAACAGTTCTGAGGAAGGGTGAGGAAGGGTAACTGGACTGAAACGTTAACTCTGATGTTTTTTTTCACAGATGCTGCCAGACCTGCTGGGCTTTTCCAGCAACTTCTGTTTTTGATCCTGATTTACAGCATCCGCAGTTCTTTCGGTTTTTACACCCATCTAATGTTTTGTACAGAATACAACTCAACTGTTTTTTTATCCACATGAACCTCCTGTCATTCCTTTTCAACTCACTGTCAACATATCCTTCCATTCATTTCTCCATCGTGATTATCTAGCCTCCTGTTCGTTCCTCAACCCCTCCGTGTTCTCCCCACTCTCTGGGTTAAGATGTTTCTGCTGAGTTCTCAATTAGATTCCAGAATTCTCTTCCAGTTATTGTCCAAGTTACTGTGTTACTTGGCATTCAGATGGATCTGAATCGTCCAAAATGATCCTTTATGCAAAACTCAATGAAAGCAATTCCTGGGCTAGTATTTTTAATTTTATGTCTGTGCCAAATATCCTTTCAGTAAAGAAAGGTCTAGGCCCGAAATGTCAGCCTTCCTGCTCCTCTGATGCTGCTTGGCCTGCTGTGTTCATCCAGCTCTACGCCTTGTTATCTCCTTTCAGTAAAATTGGCTCACCAGTCTGGATTGGATCCATACTTAAAGTGCAAAGATGAAATGACAAAGCTGTGATTGGCCTTGAGGTGTGCAAGAAGGCATTTCAGCTCCTTGAGGCTATGTGCAATTGAATTATATCACTGATCTGTATCCTGATTTGCGTGCCTCATTCTCATTTTGCAAGCAGGAATAGACATTAATCCAGCACTGCCTGTCCCTACAAACATGTTGTAAACATATTGCACAAGGCGTCAACTGTCAAAGTTCATTCCTGTCAGCAACACATCTATTCTTGGGCTCCAATAACTAAGCACAATTTCATTTGAAGGTTTGAGTTGCAGTGATATCCAACATCCACTCTGACTACTCATACTGGGAAGAATGTTCCAAACCAGTGGCAGTTAGGAATAAAGATTTCTTTACGTTGATGCAAGGCTGATAGGAAGAAAGGCATTGGCAAGTTCACCGACTGCCTCAGAAAGAGACACAGGGACCTGACTGAGGGTGAGAATACTTGATGGAATATAGTAACTGAAGTCAGGATAATTTTGTCAGCTTCTCACAAAGATGATTAAAGGGATCAGGGTCAAGATTGTGAAGGGCAATTTTAGCACACCATAGGCACAGTGGCTGAGCATCAACAAGTTGAAAGGAAGACACAAGATTGTCATTAGAGCTCTGCATTAATTTTCTTGACCCTAACCCTACCTTACAGTGCAATAAGGAGATGGCGAGGTTGGTGTTCTGCATGGTGACAATTGAAGCAGGTGAACAGCCTTCCTCAAAAAAAAAATCCTGTTAAGATATAGCTGTCAGATTTATACTAATCAAATTGAACTGTCATCAGTCTTAGCTCAGTCAGTGTATTCAACATTATGATGTACTCTGGGCTTTGAATCTGTGTAGTTCTGTTACATGTGTGTGGTTCTGAGCTCAGCTCATAGTATTGGGAAGAAGCAATTTTTCATGGACAGAGTGGCCGAGACATCCTGCTTTAGTGGCAGAAAAATTGCCTGTTCCATCACCAATATGTTGGGCAGCAGCAGTTCATCATGATGAGCTCATTATGAACATTGAAATGTTACAGGCTACAAAGAAATCGGTGTGCAGTGTGAAGCACAATGCTGACATCTCCATCTGCAAGCAATGGAACCAGGCCTTTTTGGGCCTCTTCCAGGACCCCACTATCGGATTGGTTTGATTGACGACTCCCACAATAAAGTCCTGAGCCACCATTGTCCAAAGTGAGCATCCCAGGTTCAATAGATCAGTATTCTCAGATTCAATGTGGCATTGGCCAAATACACATATCTCCTTACAGGAAAACATCTCCCCATTAAACTGCCCTCATTCCATAAAAACACAATCAAAATAGAACACTGGGGAAATACGTATCTTCAGCACTCTCAATGGTGTTAACATGTGTCAGGCCTCAATCATCTAATCACTGCAGTGAGGAAGCAAGCCATTCAGCCCACTGAGACCACACAGATCCTCTGAAGAGCATCCCCCCCCCAGATACACCTCCCGACCCTAACCCTACATTTCCCATGACTAATCCATCTGGCTTGCTCATCCCTGGACACTATGGGCTATTTCGCATGGGCAGTCCAGTAACCTGCATACCTATGGACTGTGGGAGGAAACCAGAACACCCGGAGGAAACCCATGCAGACACAGGGAGAATGTGCAAACTCCACACAGACAGTCACCCAAGGCTAGAACTGAACCTGGGTCCCTGGTGCTGTAAGGCAGCAGTGCTAAACACTGAGCCACCGTGCCATAGAAACATGGCAAGCATGTTTCTGCTGTCAAACAACTCTCAAGCCTTTGCTTCAGAGAGTCTGTAGGCAGAGGACTTGACAGCCTCAATGTTTATCCCAAAGGTATAAAAGAAAGCAGAGTGTTATTTTGCCAAGAGATGGAACTGAAGTTAGGATTATGATAATAAATCCATATTCCTGATCGATGTTCATCTATGTACTGCCACAGGACCTCTGACTAAATTGCCATTTCAAATATATCTCCTGGCTAAACGCTGAGGAACCAGGGGGAAAGAAACAACACAAAACCAGTGAAACTGGGAAATGAATGGTCTGGGCAGACTGGAGTTATATTTTCAGAATTACAATTTTTTTGCTGTTTTTGAAGCACACATAGAAAGCACACCAAACATGTTTACCTGAGAAGGTCCCTTTGGCAAGGCATTCTTTGACACGGTTGGCCCGCCTCACATGGAACGCTTTGGTAATCTCTTGGTTCATGAAGGCCTCATTGTTTAAAATATTGGCGACCATCATACGCAAGTCGAAAACCTCCAGCAGCTCTGCAATGTGGGCTATCTGCATCAGCTCCTTCTCATTCTCATCCAGCTGGCCAGTGTACAAGTAATGCATGACGGCGCTGAATGCATCAGGATGAACAGAGTAGTCCATTCTGACAACAGTCATTAGCCGACTGTTCAACGTGATGGGATCTTCTGCCATCTCTTCCTGGATGCTGATGAAAGCTCTGCTCCATGATGACAAAATCTTTCTTCTTTTGAACCATGATTTTGCTCTTGCACTCTGATCATAGGCATTGAGTTTCAAGATACCATCGCTGGTAGAGGCTCGAAGATTGGATAATGGTTGGGTGGTTGGAACTTCATCTGTGCTTTCACTGACATCAAAACTGGCAGCTCTCATTAAGTATTCCCTGCCCTGCCTGTCATTGTGGCTCATTGCTCTTTCACTACCAGACTCTGGTTCTTCACTGAGGTCCATTAGAAACAAGTCATAAAATTTAGAGGAGGAGGTAGACAAATAAATCTTGTGAGCGTAGATTTTAACCTTGTCCTGAAGCACCAGGATGACGTCTGCACAAAGAGGATTGGCCAACAGGTGAGCGGGATGCTCTTCATTGGTTTTGGGGGGATCTGGGACAGTGATGAGGGGGGGAGGTGGCTTTGGAGGTAGGAATGGAGCCTGGAGTAAAGGCTTTTGAACATTCCTCAGATGTGACTTCCAGAACTGGAGATGCCGCCTGGAAATTAAGGCGGCTCTGATGGCATTATCGAAGACATCCTTAATGCCAAATTGGGCCACCACGCTGGTTTCATAATAGGGGATTCCCAATTCTTTGGCTACCTCACGACCCTTTTCTGGAGGTAAAATCTCATTGTGTCGTATTGGCCTGTGAATGCATAAAACCACAATGTAAGCTTAGTAAGATTAACTCAAAACTACTACTTAGGTCTTCTCACTTTTTCTCACTGCTTGTAAAGACACAAATTTTAAAACTTATTGGAAGCATCAAATCATGATGTTTGATGTTTGCTACTGCACTATGACTTTAATCTAGATTTTCTAAACAGGAAGAACACATCACATTTTAGAAAGTACATATCAATATTGTAACCATGCAAGTTCATCAGTCAATCTGCATTGTAGTTCATGATACTTTGACAGAGTGGGATAGATCTGCAGCACTAACAGAATGCACCTGAGATCTGATAATTGAAACATCTCAGAGGTACTTTGAAAGGAACGAAGTAGAATGTTTAAAGATACAAGGCCGAACACAGCTGCAGTCATTAAGCATTTGAGCAAATGTGAACTATGCAGTTCTGTAGTTCCAGAAATTAGAAAATACCATATCCAGTCTCAGAGCCACCAGTCATTCCAATTTGCTCAGCCAGTTCTTCATTGACACCAAAACCAACACAATCAGCTGGAAAGGTCTTCCATTTCAGGGAGATTATAAAGAAAAATAAATCCATCTAGTTTCCTGTTTTCTCCAGAATTTAGAGGGTTAAGGTGTGATCTGATCAAAGTCTTCAAGATATTGACAGGAAAGGACAGGGGAGATAAAACTAAACTACATTCACTAGTTGGGGATTCGACAACTAGGGGACACAGTCTGAAAATTAACACCAGATCATTTAGGAGGGATTTTAGGAAACACTTTTACACAGAAAGGGTGGTACAAGTTTGGAACTCTCTTCTACAAATGGCAGTGGATGTTGGATCAGTTGTTCATTTTAAACGTGAGCCAGATACATTTTTGTTGAGCAACAGTGTGAAGGGATATGGGCCAAAGGGAGGTACATGGATTAGGCCACAGATCAGCAATGATCTGATTGAATGGTAGTACAGGCTCGAGGGGCTGAATGTCCTGTTCCTATGTCCTATGGTCCAAATAGAAGATTGAAGCTGATCATCACAAAGTCTACAGGGTAACGTTGGGCAGTACAAACTGACTGTGGTCTAAGCGATTTCCCATCACGAATATGCTACCTCATCCCCATATGCTTCATCCCAAAGATGTTCAATTTATACCTTCAATGAAACTGAATATTTTCTGGCACATATGACAACTAGTTGAAATGTCACTGACCGAAAACCAATTCTCCAACTATAACCGATGTATTGCCAGCTTTGTATGAGTAACGACAAGCTTTGTACGGTGCAGAGCATTGAGAAAACCTTCAAATAACTTGGGCAGCAGTTGTAAACATTCAGTAGCAAATATTCCTTCACCACCATCAGTATTCATCCGTGTAATTCTTAATCTCTTGCTAAACATACATTAAACCAAGGCTTTTCAATGAACAAGGCTGTTCATCGACAGTACATCAGTTGACTTGGGAGTTAACAATACACAATTGCTACTTTGTTGGAGGGTAATGGTGAGACACACAACAAGGTGAGGAGACATGTTGAAAGGTGCTGGAAGTCTCATCTTTCTTTGTTTTCATTTGTGAAATCAAACAATTGTAAATGAGTCAGGCCATCAAATCACATCCTTGATGTATTCTCTAATTTCCTCTTCATGGGTTTCTCCTCAATTCCTCTCAATAAGGTTGCTTTGCACTGGGATGAATCACCTGACAGTACCGCATCCAGGATATCCAGTTCAGCCAGTCTATTCTCATGGAGGAATGAAGGGCTGCAACACAGTAAACCTGACCTAATTCTGGCTCCACCCAACCTGGGTAAGGTTTCCTTCCCATACTTCACCCAGCTGACCGGAGCAGCTGTTGTGACCCAGGTTTGCAGACACATATTTCAATAAGACTTTCTGCTTATGAATTCACCGAGCAAACGCAACTGAACTTTGAGGGAAAGGTTCTTACAGTTGGTTGTAATTAGACCAGACACTAAACTGGAACCACATAATGCATTTCCTCACTTGACTTGAAGATAGGCAGCGAGGACTGTACCTTGCAAGAGGCCTCCGTGCACGATTAACAGCTTCCAAGTCAGTGTATCGCAAGTCCAACTGGCAGCCAACCAAAATGACAGGGGCACGTGGACAGAAGTGTTTAATCTCCTGGTACCACATGGTCTTAACGTGATGCAAAGAGTTGGGGTTTGCAATGGAGAAACAAAGCACGACCACATCAGATCTGAGCAAGAGAGAAGAAAATCACCCATTACAATTCCAAAAGAACTAGAGACTGCACAGTGATATAATGCTTGTGCACTCAATGGATGTATCAGAAACCTCAGAGCCTGCATTCTCTTGCATATATACAACAGACCATTCAGCCTGTCTGGTGGATGCTGGTGTTTTATGTTTCACGTAGGCCTATGCTATTTAATCTCAGCCTATCACTCTCTTCTTGTGGCCTTCTCTCTGTGGTATATTTATCCAGCCTCCCCTTAAATGCAGTCATAATTTGCTGAATGACTAACTGTTCTTTGTTGAAGTCTGTAGGAGATAAGTGCTGCAATATCTCGTAATGTCTATTACTGAGGTGAACACTGATTGCTTGCAGATTAAATCATTGCAAGTTGGCTGCACTTACCAACAAAGACTTGAATTAAAATACATTGAATAAAATAGTTGCAAAGGAAACTGCTCCTTGATTGGCACCAGTTGAAGTTTGAACTGAGTTGACCTCATTGGCCAGGTTTTCAGAATGATGCACAGCATGTCTGTAGAGCTAAAGGTTCACAGTGCAACTGATTAACGCAGCAGAGATACTGCATCATTCGGAAAGTATACTTTATCGGCTGAGGGCTGTGATTCCCCAGATTCACAACACTCTCATGTCAGATTTGTTCAAGAAATACTGAATTACTCAAAGGACTTCAGTTTGGTGCAGAATCCTAAGTTTCATTTCATGATGGTTTGCTCTGGAAAACAAACCCCACAGAACTTGTGAGACATGTATTTACAAAGGTGAATAAGTCTTATTTTCACTTTTGATTTGTGGTGGAATGTAGCTTATGGAAGGCAGAATACTCTGAAGATCATAGAGTTCTCATGCTTGTTTCCTCCATGACTAAATGCTTTAATTGGAAATCGGAGGAGAGGCAGTTTCCCACTCAAACTAGTTCAAGAATAATATCTTCACCTTTTGCATTGCTGTACCTGCCATAGGCAAAGCGCCTGTCCTTGTGATGATCACCAAACGTATCCCAGAGCCGCAATGAAACACTGACGTCATCAACCACATCGCGTGAACGTTCCAGAACCTTTCAAACAAAAAGCAAACTGAGGAGGTGATTTTATGCAATTTAAATCCCTTGCCTTAAAGGTGTCTCCCCTAGTCCCCACTCCATAATGATTAGTGCAAAGGAACAGCAAATAAACCACACATTTCTTCCATGCAGAGTGTTGTAGGAGTTAGCACCCAAATGTAGTAGAGTAGGATTTAGCATACAGCGTGCTCACCCAATGTTCAGTTGCACTCATATTGAACGATGTTACCAAAGTACTAGAGTGCGGGAGAGAAGAAACTGTCCCAGGTGCATAATAATGGGATTGCATCTTGAATTCCGCTTCAAGTTTGGTTGTGAAGACACAAGGGAGACATTCACATTGGTAACAGCATGAGGGCAAACTACAAGGTTGATCTCTGATTGTCAAAGTCTGAGGTGTAATTTTCCGAATGGTGCTGTGTGGAAGACAGTTATGAACATGAAAAAGGATGCAACTGGAACATAACTGTAAATTAAACTGAAATAGTCTAACAGGGAAAGATAGATTCAAACTGCTGAAAAAGGTACATCAAGGATTGATGCAAGCAAACAAAACGTGTTTTGACTTTAAATGATCTCAGTAGAAGGGGGGGGGGGGGGGGGGGGGGGTGCGGGAGTGGGGATGCTGATCAACAAACACTGGTTCACCAGTGCTGTCCACATTAATGAACAGGTAAAACACCATGTCTTTACAGAGACAAACTTGGGCTTACGTTAATAATGCCACTAATGTCCACTTGAGTTTGCAATTAAGCATTCCTGAGTCTATATCCAAGTTAAAGCCTTCATCTTTAAAAACCTGTTGGCTGTTGACCATTGTACGGCCCATGTGTCAGCTTTAAATTGGTTAAACTAGATGCTCCTGATAAACAATCTGCATTAAATAGCAACCTTTGATGATTTTGGGACATACTGGACTGTTTCACAGCTAAAAATGTATGACTGAAGTGTATTTGTCATCATCCTTCCATTTAAGAGAAACGATGGACATACAGCAAACAATTCATTTTGATGTGATGTACTGAAGAGTACTCGCTGTTGTAATACAGGAAAAGCAGCACTCTACTGAGCACAGCAAACTCCCATCAAAAGCAATGTAATAATAAACAGATAATCTGCCACTTTGACTAATATTGTATTTCCTTTGTTGCTTGAGACCTCTTACTGACATGACATTCTGGGCCTATGAACACATTCCAAGTATTGCGTCATCTGAGAGACGACATGATACCTTGTCTGACGATTACACAGATTATGGACAAAACTAGTGAAACATACATTACAGTTGCTGAGAGATAAATCTTAGCTAAGACACCACACTGGGAAAACTTCCCTACTCTTCAGCGAATGAAGATTGCAGAGCCTTACATATCTATCTGGGAGGGCAGACAGTGCCTCTTTTTCACAATCCACCTGAAAAATGGCACCTCTGACACTGTTGCACTCCCTCTGCGTCTGTAAACCAGCGTCGATTGTGCGCTCAGGAAGTATCTTGTGGTGTTGTGGTAGTGTTCCTACCTCTGAGACAGGAGGCCCGGGTCCAAGTCCCACTTGCTCAGAGACATATAATGGCATCACTAGACAACTTGATTAGGACGTTATCAAAATTATGTGCCCAGGTTTCTGGAGCAGGCCTTGAACCCACAACGTTCTGACGGAGGTGAGAACACTACTGACTGACATATATTTCCAATGTAATGACCTCTTCAGTTGTATTTTCCAGATCATTTGCCTGAATGCCAAAATAAATTCTCTTTCTTCTCCCAGTGATACAACTATTTTTCATGCTCCATGGTTTTCAATGCTGTACAGATTTATTGAAGTCATAAGTAAATTTCAACACCAATTTACACTTGTGACTTGTTAGTGAGTCAAAGCAAATTATTCTGCCATTCACAAAATGAAATTGAGGGTACTGGAGCTTTTTAATTACTGTACTGTACCTCTAATCAAGAGATCAAGAGTTTAGATCACACCATGGCTAAATGTAATTTAGTAAATCTGACTCAAGTTCCTCAAACTGAAGTGCAAGCTCTTTCTCTCTCCACAGATACTGCCTGATCTGCTGAATACTTTCAGCATTTTCTGCCTTTATTTTGAAATTCAAGTGTCTGTCATGCTGTGCTATTGTTTTCCGCTCAAATATACGTAAGTACATAAGAAAAATAAACATTTGCAACAATAACTTATTGAGTCATACAGTTATATGGCAAGGAAACAGTCCGTGCTGATGAGACATCCCAATCTGACTTAGTCCGATTTGCCAGCATTTGGCCCATATCCTTCTCAACCCTTCCTATTTGTATACTCATCCAGATGCCTTTTCAATGTTGTAATTGTACCCACCTCCATCATCTTCTCTGGCAGCTCGATTCATACACCCACCATCCTCTGCGTGAAAAGGTTGCCCCTTAGGTCCCTTTTAAATCTTTCTCCACTCACCTTAAATCTTTGCCCTCTAGTTTTGGTCTCCCCTACCCTGGAATAAAGACCTTGGCTATTCACCCTATCCATGCCCCTCATGATTTTGTAAACCTTGATAAGGTCACCCCTCAGCCTCCGATGTTCCAGGGTAAAATACCCAGCCTATTTAGCCTCTCCCTGTAGCTCAAACTGTCCATACCCGGCAACATCCTTGTAAATGTTTTCTGAACCCTTTCAAGCTTAGCAACATCTTTCCTATAGCAGGGAGACCAGAACTGAATGCAGTATTTCAAAAGTGGCCTTGCCAATGTACTGTCCAGCCACAACATGACATCCCAACTTCTATACTTAGTGTAATGACCAACAAAGGCAAGTGTGCCAAATGCGTTCTTTACCACTTTGTCGAACTGTGACTCCACTTTCAAGCAACTATGCACCTGCACCCCAAGGTCACTTTGTTCGGCAACACTCCTCTAGGCCCTACAATTAACTATGTAAGTCCTGCCCTGGTTTGCCACATGAAAACGCAACACCTCGCAATTATCTAAACTTCGCCACTTCACAGTCTATTGGCCCATCTGATCAAGGTGCCGATGTACTCTGAGATAGTCTTCTTCACTGTCCACTACACCTCCAATTTTGGTGTCATTTACAAACTTACTAACAATACCTCCTATATTCACATCCAAATCATTTATATAAATCATGAACAATTCGACCCAGTACTGATCCTTGTGGTACTCAACATGTCACAGGCCTCCTCCTAGCTTCTAGCCAATTCTGTATACAATTGGCTAGCGCCCGGTGGATCCCATGTGACCTCACCTGACCAACCGTCTACCATACGGAACCTTATCGAACGCTTTGCTCAAGTCCACAGAGTCAATGTCTTCTGCTCTGTCTTCATCAATCTTCTTTGATACTTCTTCAAAAAACTCAGTCAAGTTACTAAGACATGATTGCCCATTACATCTAAAGCCATGCTGATTATCTCTGATCAGTCTTTGCCTTTCCAAATGCATGTAAAATCCTGCCCCTGAGAATCCCCTCCAACAAGTTACCCACCACTGACCAAAGCCACACCGGTCTATAGCTCTATGGCTTTTCCTTATAGCCTTCCTTAATTAATGGCAGAACATTAACTAACTTTCAGTCTCCCGGAACCTCCCCCATGGTGATCAATGATCCAAATACCTCAGCCAGGGACCTAGCAATCTCTTCACTAACTTCCCACAAAATTCTGGGAAGCACCTGATTAGGTCCTGTGGAATTATCTATCTTGTTGCGTTCTAAGGCCTCCAGCACTGCCTCTTCAGTAATATGAGCTCTTTTCAAAACATCGCTATTTATTTCTGCAAGTTCCCTCGCTTCCATGTCCTTCTCGACAGTAAACACTGATGCAAAGTATTTCTTTAGTATCTCAACCACGTCCTGCAGGTCCACACATCGACAACCATGTTGATCTTAAAAGGAGCCCTATTCTCTCCCTAGTTACTCTTTTGGCCTTCATGTATTTGTAGGATCTCTTTCGATTCTCCTTAACCCTATTTGCCAAAGCTATCTCATGTCCCCTTTTTGCTTTCCTAGTTTCCTTCTTAAATGTACTCCTTCTGTCCTTATACTCTTCCAGGGATTCACTGGAATACAGCTGTCTATACCCGGTATAAGCTTCCTTCTTTTTCTTGACCAGAGCCTCAATATTTTTCATCATTCAGCATTCCCTACACCTACCAGACTTGGCCTTCACAACATGAATTTATATAGCATCTTTAAAGTAATAGGTCATCCTGAATGCTTCACAGAGTATTATGAAACCAAATGTAACACTGAGTCACGAAGCAAATATTAGATCAGACAGCCAAAAGCTGAGTTAAACACACAATGTTTAATGTGTGTCCTAAAACAGGAAAGCGAGGGAGAAAGGTAAAGGAGGACATTAAGAAAATTGCAGAGCTCAGGGATAAAGCAACTGAATCATAGCTGCCTTTCTGTAAAGACCCAAATTTCATGTAATGAGAACCACTTGGTCCTACGTAACTGACATACATTGAAAGCCAGACTAACCCTAGGGGTAAGTAGAAACTAACTTATACAAAAATACAAAGTGCTGGAGAAACTCAGCTGGTCAGGCAGCATCTGTGGACAGGAACAGAGTTAATGTTTCTGACACCTTTCTGACAAAGGGTTACTGGACTCGAAATGTTATATCTGTTTCTCTATCTAAATATGCTGTCAGACCCCCTGCTGAGTTTCTCCCGCACTTTGTTTTTGTTTCAGATTTAGAGCATCTGCAGTTTTGTTTTTTTATTTCATGGAAACAACACAACGCACATTCAAAAGACAAATGAAATGGCAAAGTGCTCAAAGTGACAGCACAAATCCCAGTTCTTATGACAGTGCATACATATAAACACACACAGTGGGAGCCCAAGGGGGCCATTTGGCCCCCAATGCTCGTCTGCCATTCAATAAATCAATGGCTGATCAGACTGTGGCCTCAATTTCTCTTTCCTGCCTACCTCAATGCCCTTTGACTTGCTCATTAGTCAAGAGTCCATATGCGTCTGCCTGAAGAATATTCATTCACCATGCCTTCACTGCTCTCCAGGCAAGATAATTCTGTAGATTATTGCCCCTCAGAGAGCAAAAAAATTCTCTTGACCTCTGACTTTAAAATACTTCACAGATGTTAAACTGTGTCCCTGATTTTGAGTCTTTCCCACAGCATCCAGCCAGTCAAGTTCCCTCATCTTATTTTGACTCTAAATTCATTTAAATGCACATAGAACATAGAACAGTACAGCACAGTACAGGCCCTTCGGCCCATGATGTTGTGACAAACTTTTACCCTAAACTTAAGGTCTATCTAACCTCCACCCCTACCTTATACTATCATCCATATGCCTATCTAATAGCCGCTTAAATGCCCCTAATGAGGCCGACTCCACTACCCTCTCCAGCAATGTATTCCATGCCCCTCCCACTCTCTGAGTAAAGAACCTACCTCTGACGTCTCCCCTATATCTACCTCCACTCACTTTAAAACTATGCCCCCTCGTATTAGCTACCTCCACCCTAGGAAAAAGTTTCTGGCTGTCCATCTCCTGGGCTCTTGTGATTCAGTGGTTATGTCCCTACCTCAAAGCCAGGAGGTATATGTTCAAGTCCCAACTGCTCAAAAGGTGTGGTGTAACTGACTGGTTTAAAAAATATAAATTCCCTGTCTTTATTTCCTGCGTATTGCTAGATGATTTTGCTCATGATTCGTTTAAATTAAGAAAACTAAGTATAGACAGGTGGACAGTTCAGATTAGATGGTCATTTAAGGACACATTAGGAAACAAGAATGGAATGGAATCAGGGGATGTGCACTTGTAATGTTTCACTTTGTGAATAAGTCTATTACAAATAAAGATTAGCTTCACACTGCTCTTTCAACTGGCTATCTGGAGTAAATAATGCATCTATATTTAACATCTCATGCCCTTAATATTAGCAATCATAGAATGATACAGGATGAAGGTTCTTCAGTCCATCATGCCTGTGTAGTAAAATATATTGCCTATTTTTATGAGGTACAGAAAATGCTGGTAGACATCAAGTTAGGCAGCATCTGCAGGGAAGTGTTTCCCATCATTAACTTTGTGCCAGAAGTATAAAACTTTACAGCTCTACCAGGCTTTTAGCAAGTAAAGATGCAGGAAAAGTGATAAAGGAAGGAAAGATCAAAAGACTATTGATAGGGTGAAAGGCAAGAATGATTAAAAAGGGATGAGCGTGTAAGGGCAAGAACAAAAGAGGTTGGAAAATGTACTGGGCATGCAAAGATAACAGAAAAGGGGAAGGGGAAATGGAAAAAGGGCTAAATGAGCTGTAAATGGCAAAACAGTGTTATTGACAACATCTGCTTTCCACAGGAGCAGGAATTGTTGAACACAGCATTAATTTCAGATGTCATAAAGTGCTGGAATGAAAGATATGGTATTGTTCTCTGAGCATCCATTAATAGTTAACATTCTTCTGCACAAGATCCTGCTTTTGCAATATTTGGGCTCTCACCACCAACTTCAAAGTAAAAAAGGTTTCACAAATGATCTGAAATGGGTTGCACTGCACCACAATGAAGTGCATGTTCTACTTACCTCTTGGCACACACGGTACTGGTCAATGGCCCAGACTGTTGGTACATGAGTGGCCAATAGTTGGTATTGTGTCAGAGTGGCATTACATGCTCTTGCACAGATAAGCCTGGTCTTCCCTACTGCGTTGTCGCCCACGACCACACACTTGATGGTTTCTACGTTTGGTCTTTCGTAGTCCATGTTTGTATCCATCAACCATGGGCTAGACATGATAAACAAAATGATCATATTAAAAAAAAATACACAAACTGAAAAAGCCAAAATTATTTTTTCTTTCTTCCCACCAGAGTTTGCAGCCGAAAATGCCATTCAGCACATGGTGTTGCGCCAGATCTTTGCTGGGACAGTGCAAAAATTTAACCCATTGCTCTGCACTCTCCTTCTTGAGCTGTACACATAATTTTGCAACAATCTGAGACACAATTGCTGCTCCGATAATGCGAAGGAATCATGAGGTTTTCTGCATGAAAACCGTGAATGGCCTCTAAAATAATTCACTGGTTTGAGATGACCTGAAGTTATGAAGGGTGCAACGTCATCTGTATTTGCAAGAATGTCTTTTTAGAACAAATTTAATATCAGAAACAGAGCTGAATTAAATTAGCTTTCAAAAATCTTATACAGCTCAGTCACCCACTTGACAACAGATGAAATTTTGTTCGTTTGGTCACTAAACTTAGCTGTGATTAAAAGCACATTGCATCCTGGTAATGTTGCAGCGACCTCACGAAAGAGGCAATACCTTCTGAAGAATATCAGCACCTATAGCAAACACATTGACAGAATGCTCAAACAGCAAAGAAAATTTCTTCTTATGCAAAGAAAATTTAATGTCTTATATAGAAACCAAACAAACTGCGTGGACTGTATGTAACTCGGGAAAGCTAAGTGTTTATACTGACACCTGAAACTGCAATGTAATCTTACATGGCAGCTGGTATTTATAAATAGCACAAGTATTTATCATGTGTTTATTGAGCATACAATTCCTTCCAGTATCATGTATGTTTAAGAGAATATTTCTCTTAATCTGATGTTGCTATCAGATTTCTCTTTCTTCTGACTAAAGATACGGCTGCAATTTTCCATTGATTTAAATGACTGGATGAAAGGTTGTTGGCAGACAATTGCATAGGTGTGGTGACCTCGCTTTGGATATGGTGCACTGGCCAGGGCGTTTAATCACTCAAAAATGAGTCTTGATTACATTGACAGACTGCCTGAAAAGCCCAGTCATGTTTGCAAGCACACTTCCAACAGATGGATCAAGATCAGGAGCAGAAGAAGCCGAAATGGTTTCCCCCTACTCCTGGACAAGGCACATCTTGGAAGGTTCTCCAGCTTGTGCTGCCAATCCATCAGCTGACTCAACATTGGGCAGCGATGGAATTTGGGATCTCTCCAGCTTTCTGTGACACAGCTGATCCTTAGATAAACAGACTGCCTTGCCTGTTGGATCAACATATTGACAATTATATATAAACCCAAAGATATTGAAGATAGAGCTGGACTTATGATTGGCACATACATCATTGATCTTAAGGTGGCATGGTGGCTCAGCAGTTAGCACTGCTACCTCACAGCGCCAGGGACCTAGGTACAATCCCAGACTCGGGGACTATGTGCTGTTTGCACGTTCTCTCTGTTGGTTTCCTCCAGGTGCTCTAGTTTCCTCCTACAGTCCAAAGATGTGGAGGTTAGTTGGATTGGCTATGAAGATTAGCCAGAGCATTACAGGGATAGGGTAAGGGGGTGAGTGCGGGTGGGATGCTGTGTGGAGGGTTCATGTGGACTTGTTGGGCTGAATGGTCTGCTTCCACACTGTTGGGATTCTATGAAATAACCTTCTTGCTTCCATGGAAACAGCTTGAGCTGTGGTCCAGTGCTAGCACTCTTGCAACTGCCCCCTCTGCAATGGGAAGGACGTGCACCTTTGGGGTTTCGATAGAAAGGATCAAAAAGCTTCGAGGTGGAGAAAATGTACTGTGATTCCCTTTTAACAGATGTTTGAAACACAATCATTAGTTCTTTATCAGCCATCTCATTTCATGTTACTGTGTGCAAGGCAAAATGCTGAAGTAAAAATTGGGCTGCAGTTTATTTATAGACTCTGAGGACTGCTGAAACTGAAGTGCTCTTGAACTTTTTCTACACGTCACACACATCAGATCTAATTTCAAGTGCATTCTAGTTATTGACTAGATATTCAACCTGTTTGGCAGTGTTATAAATGCACCTTCATTGACCATCCAGTCCTGGACCAGGACTTCAACCCAGAATTTCTAGTTCAGAGAAAGGGATGTCAACAATGCGGCCTGTCAGAAGCACAATAAGATAGGAACGGGAGAAGGTCATTACACCCCTTTGACCTGTTCTTTCAATTGCTGAGAGCAGACCCGAGTGGTGAATAAATCTGGACACCAACGTTTGCCCATATCCCTTAATATCTTTGGATATCAAAAATCCACAAACCTGAAATTTAAAAGAGAGAGCTGATCTAGCATTAATTCCCATTGGTGGAAGTGAGTTCCAAAATTCTCCAAACATTTGTGAGGAGATGTGTTTCCTAATTGCACTCCGAAAAGATTTGGCTATAATTTTTAAGGTATGCCTTCTAGCCTAAGATGTGTCGACCAGCAGAAATGGTTTCTCTCCATCTAACCACTTTGCTTCCTTTAAAGATTTGAAAATTTAGTTCATATAGAATCACAGGAGTCTATTCAGCTGATTGGGTCTGCGTCATCTCTTCACATGAGCATCATTCCCGATTGTCAATTTTGTACTTTTCCCCAGTCCTTTGCATATTGTTCCTATTGCAATATTAATCCCATGTCCCACTTGAATGCCTCAATTGAACCTGCCTCCACCACATTTTCAGGCAGCACATTCCAGAATAACTGACTGTGTGAAAAAGTTCTTTTTTGCATCACATCTGCTCCTTTTGCAAATCGTTTAAATTTATGCCCTTTTGTTCATAATCCTTTTACAATTTCTCCTTATTTACCCTATCAAGCCTCCTCATTATTTTGAAAATCTCGATGAAATCTCCTCTCACAGTCCTGACTTGTCCTGTGTAGATGGTGGAGAGGTTTTGGGGAGTGAGGGAGTGAGTTACTCTTACTGGCTCTTGTAGCCACCGTATTTAAACGGCTAGTCCACTTCACTTTCTGGTCAATGGTGACTCCCAGGATGTTGATCTTGGGGGATTCAGTGATAGTAATGCCACTGAATATCAAAAGGGTGATGGCTAGATTTTCTCTTGTTGGAGATGGTCATTGCATGACATTTGTGCCACAAACACTACTTGCCACATGTCAGCCAAAACATAGATTTTGTCGTGGCCTTGCTCTCTTTGCACATGGACTGCTTCAGTATCTGAGGAGTCGCAAATGGTGCTGAACACTGTGCAATCACTGGGGAACATCCCCACTTCTGACCTTATGATGGAGGGAAGGGCATTAATGAAGCAGCAGAAGATGGTTGGGTCTAGGACATGATCCTGAGGAACTCCTGTAGAGATGTCCTGAAGCTGAGATGATTGACCTCCCATCTTTCTATGTGTCAGGTATGACTCCAACTAGCAGAGACTGATGTCTTTGATTCCAGTTTTGCTAGAGTTTCTTGATGCCACACTCAGTCTAACGCAACCATGATTTTAAGGGCAGTGACTCTTATCTCACCTTGTGAAGTCAGCACTTTTGTCTATTTTTGATGTAAAGATGTAATGAGGTCAGGAACAGGTGGAACCCAAATGGACTGTCAGTGGGCAAGTTAGTTCTGGTTAGGTACTGCCTGTTAGCACTGTTCATTACCCCTTCCATCAGTTTACTGATGATGTAGGGTAGACTGATGGGGTGGTAATTGGTTTGGTTAGATTTGTCCTAATTTTTGTGCACAGGACATATCTGGGCAATTTTCCACTTTGTCAGGGAAATGCCAGTGTTGTGACCATATTGGAACAGCTTGGCTAGGGAGTGGCAAGCTCTGGAGCACAAGTCTTCAGTACTATCACTGGAATGTTGTCAGGGGCCCCAGCCTTTGCAGCATCCAGTGCCTCCAACCATTTCTTGATATCACGTGGAGTCAGTCAATTTGGTTGAAGACTGGTATCTGTAATGCTGGGAACCAGTGGAGGCCAAGATGGATCATCCATTTGGCACTTCTGGCTGAAGATTTTTGCAAATGCTTCATCCTTATCTTTTGAACTGTTGTGTTGGGCTCTTCCATCATTGAGGATGGGGATATTTGTGCAGCCTACTCCTCCAGTGAGTTGTTTAATTATCCACCACCATTAATGACTGGATGTGGCAGGACTGCAGAGCTTAGATCTGATCTGTTGGTTGTGGAATTGATTTGTTCTGCCTATCACTTGCTGCTTATGCTGTTTGGCATGCAAGCTGTCCTGTTTGGTAGCTTCACCAGGCTAACACCTCATTTTTAGCTATGTCTGGTGCTGCTCCTGGCATGCCCTCCTGCGCCCCTCCTTAACCAAGGTTGACTCCCTGGCTTGACGGTAATGGTTCAGTGCGGAATATGCTGGGCCATGAGGCTGCAGATTATACTGGAGTACAAATTCTGCTGCTGTTGGTGGCCCACAGCACCTCATGGATGCCCAGTAGTGAGTTGCTAGATCTGCCTCTGGTACCTTAGAAACGGAAGGAGTCTATGTTTAAGTAGGTGCAAGGAGCACTGATCAAGCAGATTGCTTTTTCTTGGATGGTGACAAGCTTCGTCAATATAGTTTGAGATGCATTCATTCATGCAAGTTGGGCGTAATCCTTCACACTCTTGACATAAGCCTGGCAGATGGCCTGGAGATTTGGGGATCAGTAAACTGCAGCGCTCCTGGTAAAAGTAGGTTCTTCTGTTGATATAAATGTACCAGTCATACACAAGGATTGGTGAAACAATTGTGCCCAGTGTAACTGATGAAACAAACATTTGTAAATGCTTTGTTGCAAGTTCAGAAGTACTGATTAATCCCTGGAATGAGTGGGTTCTGTTCTAGGAATAGGTTGGACAGACTGGGCTTGTTTCCATTCGAGTTTAGAAGAGTGAGGGGTGACTTGATTAAAGTGTGTAAAGTCCTGAATGGACAAGGTGGACATGGATATCTGGGCACATTGCAGCATGGTATGGCAACTGCTCTTCCCAAGATTGCAAGAAATGACAGAGTCCTGAACATGGCCCAGTCCATCACAC